AGGTGGATGCATCTGTGTCTGAATTGGAGGAGGACGGACACTTGCATCCGGCTAGTGGCCTGTGGGTAACGAATTAAACTGGAGCTCAGATGGATGCACCAGATGTGATAGATAAGCAATGTACTGTGAGGCCGGAGACCAAAACAGAAGATTATCAATACAGTTTGGGGCAGTGGTTCTCAGCCTTGGCCGCACATTAGAATCACCTGGGAATCTTTTTAAAATCCTGATTTCTGGGCCTCATCCTCCAGAAATTCTGTTTCTTTGTTAATAATGTTGTGGCCCCACCCCATAACAAAGGAACAGAATCTCCGGAGGACGAGGCCCAGAAATCAGGATTTTAAAAAGATTCCCAGGCGATTCTAATGTGCGCCCAAGGCTGAGAACCACTGGCTTAGAGGGTTTGCCAAGGGGGGCGGGGAACAGGGACTGGTGATTTACAGTGTGCATGTTTCCTTTCGGGGCGATTAGCATGTCCTGAGACATAATATAGGTGATTGTACCACAGAATGAATGTACTGAATGCCACGGGACATTTTAAATAATTTTATGCTGTTTTTAACCCCTTCCCCGGCAGAAACGTGTATACACGTTTTCACAAAATGTTCTTTTTTCAGTCGTCGACGAGTATACTCGTCTAAAACTTTACCTTCAAAAACCATTTGCATTCATTTTTTTGTAGCATTTTCAAGTGTTACACCCCAAATGTCTAGTTCAACGGAAGATAGTGAATATGAACCTTCCCTCAGAAGCTTGAATACTTCTGATAACTCTGCCAGTTCATCAGACAATGACTATTTCTCGACAAGTGAGGAGGAGGAGGGGGTTGAGGGGAGAGTTTGGAGAAGCCTCGAGTTGTCAGAGGAGCGTATGAATGCACCACCACCACGTTTTCCTTTCACAGGAAATCCTGGAATAAAGATTGATGAAAACCCAGCAGAATTGAGTCCATTTGAATTCTTCAGTCTTTTTATTGATAAAAGGATTATTGACTCTGTACTGGTAGAGACTAATCGTTTTGCTGAACAAACTGGGCAAGATGATTCTTTGTGGCGCCCTGTAACAGAGGCTGAACTTTTTGTATTTTTTGCCATGAAAATGCTTGGGGGTATTGTGAAAATGCCAGAAGAAGAAATGAACTGGTCACATGATGAACTGCTTGAAAGACCAATTTTTCGGCAGCTAATGACTATGAAACGGTACAGTAAGATAAAGCAATATCTTCATTTTGTAGATAATGAAACTCATGATGCACAAACTCACCCTAACCCAAAATTGTATAAGATTTATGATGTATTCATGACATTGTGTGAGAACTTTGAGAAATATTA